AAAATATAATTATAGAAAAAAAAGAATATACTAAAAAAAAGCTGCAAAATCATCTCACTGCAAATAAAAACAGCTAATTTGAGGGTTCAACATGCTCTTTCTCTTAACATTGTTTAGGAAAATAGTCACTGTTACTCATTAAATTGTTCTTGAACTTAATAATATATTACTAAGAAGGCGTTTAACCATCAGAAAGACTGAAGCCCATGAAATAAGATATAAATTAACATTTCACGTAGTCATCTCTTAGCACAAAAATCTGTCAGCATACACAACGAGATATTTTTAACCAAACTTCTTGCTCAAGTTTATAAATCTTTCTCTGCTGGAGGCTAATAGCTTCTTTTCTGTATGTACATTACTTTTCTGAATTTCTTATCCTGGTAGCTAAGATGTAGCTTTTTGTCAGAAATTATGGCCAAGTAAGAAATGTTTATGTTAAAAATGATAATGTGGTTATAATAATAGAGTTCATGTTCATGGTTAATTGCTCAGCATACAGATTTAATAAGTATGGAGATAGGATACATCCCTGCCACACACCCTCCCTGATCTTAAATCGTGCAATGTTTCCTTGTTCCATTTGAACGTCAGTTTCTTAATCTAGGAATAGCTTTCTTTTTTTTTTTCTATAATTTTATTTTATTAATTTTCATAAACATTTACAGAGATTTTGGGCTTCCACTCATTCATTGTTGCACTTAGGAATAGCTTTCGCATGAGCACAGTGAAGTGTTCTGAGATTCCCACTCTCCTCAGTGTAGTCATAGCTCATTACGATTCACATGGAAAATTAGTGGTGGAGAGATAGGCTATCATGCCAGTGCCTTCTCATAGTCTCCTAGCTTAAGACAAAACTATCTTTGAAAAAATGTTCATGAATATAAAACAATTACCTCCAGGCAACAATACTAAGATACAGATTTTTTTTAACACTAAAGAAACTATTGAAACTTCTAACTTGAATAAATGTAAAATCAAACTCATTGCTGTGAAATTGGTTCTTAGGTCACAGCGACCCTTTATCAGGTTTCTGAGGATGTAAATAGTAACAGGAAGAGAATGTCCATTTTGCTCCACTTTATAAGGATGTAAGACTAATACATGTAGCTTTGGTAATAAAACTATACTCCAAGGCAAATGATATTCATTGTCATCTTCTACTCATTCTAAATTCACATCATAGCTGGAACTGTAGTGGATTGAGTTTGGTCCCTGCCCTGCCTTCCCTAAATGTATTTGAGTCCTAACCCTATGTGACTACACACGCACACAAACATACACACACACATATATATAAATACACACACACACGTATGCTGTTATGTACCATTAAGTCATAACCAACTCATAGCTGACTCTCCAGGGGCTTTCAGAGACAGTAAATCACACAGGTGAACGTCCATTTCTCTCCTGTGAAGTAGTTGGTAAATTTGAATGGCAACGCAGCTTCTTACCCACTACGCCACCAGAGATACATACACACACACACATACACTCTCACACACACATAGGAAACTCTGGTGGCCTCATGGTAAGAAGCTGCACTGCAATTTCAAAGGTACACAATTCAAATTCACCAGCTGCTCCCCAGGAAGAAAATGAGCACTCTCCTCCCACACAATTAACTATCTCTACAAGCCTGCTGGAGGGTCAGCTATGGGTCAGTTCCAACTCGACAGTACACAACAACAACATACATACTGTAAAAGAATATACTCCAAAGCGGTGTTTCAAATGAATACCCATCTACTGATCCAGAGAAAAATAAACAGCTCAAACTGAGAAAAATTCCCTTTAAAAGATATAAAACATGTATTATCTATTTTTCCATCTAATTGAAGAATTACCTGACCTTAGCTGGATTACTCTGAAAGCAGAAGTGTCTGTAACACATCCAATTGCTGCTCAGTGAGCTAAAAAGCAGGACTAAAGGCATGAGTTTGACCTTCATGTAATATCATAATCTGTTTTAGGGGAAGAATCTAATACCAGATATTTCAGAACAGAGCAAGGAGACACTGCATGGTTCAAAATCAGGAAGGGTGTACACTAGGGATGTATTCTGTCTCCATACCTCTACAATCTGTATGCAGAACAGATCATCTGGGACGCTGGGCTCCATTAGGTGGAATGTGCATCAGGACTGAAGGAAGATTTATCAACAACCAGCATTATGCAGATGACACAACCCTGCTTGCCTAAACTGAGGAGGACCTGAAGTGCTTGCTGCCGGTCAATGACTGCAGCCTTCAATATGGATTGAAGCTCAACATCAAGAAAGCAAAGATTCTCACCACTGGGCCATTGGCATCATGATGGATGGTGAAGAGATTAAGACTGTTAACAGCTTTAATTTGCTTGGCTCCACAGTCAACACTCTTGGTACCAGCAGCCAGGAAATCAAGAGACAAATTGCATTGAGAAAGGTGACCTGTCGGGGACATCTTTAGAGTACTGAAGAGCAACAATGTCAGTCTGGAGACTAAGGTGCACCTGATCCAGGCCATAGTACTTGCAATTGCTTGCTATGTGTCAGATCGCTGGACAATGACTAGGGATGACAGGAAAAGGATTGATGCCTTTGAGCTGCAGTGCTGGAGAAGAGTTTTGAATATACCATTGACTGCCAAGAGAACAAATAGGTTCATCCTAGAGAGAGTGAAACTAACCAGCTCCTTGGAGGCAAGTATTCTGAGGCTTCATCTGACATACTTTGGACATGTTACAAGGAGGGATCAGTCCTTGGAGAGAGACATCATGCTTGAAAGGGTGGAGGCACAGACAAAGAGAGGGAAACCATTGATGAGATGTATTTATACAGTGACTGAGGCAATAAAGTGTGTCAGAGACAGTAAAGTTGGCACAGTATAGAGCAGGTTCTAGGGCTGTTGTATATAGGGTCACTACAAGTTGCAAGCAACTAGCAACTAAACAGCACATAACAACGTTTAACATCAATAACATCTTTTGACTTAGTGGCAAGAAGCAGCACTGTAATCCCCAACGCATACAATTCAAGCCACCGTCTGCTCCGCTGGAGAAAGATGGGTAATCTCCTCTTATGTGATTAACTGCCTCTGAAAACCCACCAGAGGGTCAGCGATGGGTCGGTTCCATCTCTATGGTACACAACACCACCATTATGATCCCTACTCCAAAAAGAGAAGTTGATATTAAACAAGTCAGCTAAACCAGGAATTAGAGGCAGACATGTAAATATGGAATTGTTTCTTATGTTTAGGAATATGTTTAGGACTCCCTAGCTCTAGTTTGGGATATATTCTGAGAATAGTAGAAAAAAGGCACTCTGAAATCTTTATCTGAAGAGTTAAATTCTGTCCCATGACTTGGACTTACCTTAAACTATCACGGTAACTCCCTCTAGTGAAGGTCGCTTTTCTGTCAAGTGAGGCATGTTCAGTGGCATCTTTCTCTATTCAACACAATGAGTATTGTTTAGTATATACAACAGCAGAATTATTGCCAAATAGAACTATTAACTTCGTTTGTCACTAAGGAATAACTGTGCCCGATGCTAATTTTTTTGTTCATTTTATTACAATAAATAAAGCAGCAATTGTCTAGCACAAAAAAATACTCGGGAATATTGAGTCATTTGCACCATTATGATGGCCTATAAATGTTACCTCAAAATAAATAGATATATTTTACCATGAATCATAAAACAAAAAGAAACCCTTAAATTTGGAAATTCTACCAGAAGTGGCAAAAAGTGACAGACCCACCAAATGTTTTAAGTCTATTCAGATTAAGAGTCAATTATTGATACACAGCTAAATGGTAAACATAATGTTGCTTAACTTATGTATGGTATAGGAGTGCTTGTGGCATAGTTTGAGGAGAGTTGTACTGTGAAACCATTTAAGGCTTCACTGGACTAACAGTGTTAAGGCTGAAGTTCTGGTGGTTCAAATCCACTAGGAGATTCATAGGAGAAAAAGGGACAGTCTCCTCCAGTTGTTTTATAGCCTTGGAAATTCAGCTATGGGCCAGAATTGACTCTATGGCAGTTATAGAAAAATAGATACACAAAATATGGACCCTGGGTTGACACAAATGATTTTTTCTTGGAGGTTCTAATCCATCCTGTGAAACCATTAAAAGAAAGGCCTGAAGATCTACTGCTGTTAGGTTATAGCGACTGAAAATGCGATCAATTGCAGCCTACTCTGAAACATGTGGCAGATGGTGCACTAGGGCCCATAAACAAAAATACCCTGCAGTTCTTTATTCATTGATTCAACCAACAATAAATAAAAGATGTTCAAATGTAGACAAGACACTTAAACAGAAGAGGTGGGAGCTGAGGGTGAGGCTGGGGAGGGGCGAAATCACAGAGTTGCACAGTCTGGTGAGTGGAGGAAGGGGGTGAAGGAAATGGGAAGGATCCTGTGAGGACAAAAGGGTAATGATGGGCATTGTGTAATCATGATTCATTTTAAAACATGGCAATGATTGTACTAAACACAATGTGAATGAAGAATAGTGTGAAACACAATGTATACAAACTTTGTAAGCAAATGAATATAAAATAAAAATAAAATAGAAAAAGCCCCTCTTGCTTGCAAAATGTTAAAAAAAAAGATTGAAAAATAAGCTGGATATTAGCGCTATGACTTGATCAAGTAACTTCACTTCCCTTGCTTTAGGTATTTCTTTTATTATCTGTAAACATGAGGAAATACTATTCCTTTCAGGAATCCTGTGAGTACACATAAGATAACATATATGAAAATGCATAGAAAGTCAAAAGCAGTATTAGTATGCATAAAGCTTCTATCTATGTTCTATATTAAACAGGACTGTAGAACAGTCTCCCTTGGTGAGCTCAGGTAGGGTAATCCACAGGGAGTCATGCTACTAATCCAAGGCTTCATCTCTCAGGTGTTTTGAATCCACCAGCCACGCTGTGGGAGAAAGATAAGCAGTCTTCTCCTGTGTGATTTACAGCCTCTAAAAACCCACTGGAGTGTCAGCTGGGAGTCAATTCTGATTTGATCGCAATGAGTACATTTTAATCACATGATAGGAAACTGCCCATCTTTCTTCCATGGAGCAGCTGGTA